TAACATACAAACGCACTTGTAATTAGACAAAACTATTTTTGGATCACATTTAAGATGAAGCAGGAAGTGAAGAAGACTAAAATAGAGTGAGAAAGACAGACTTAGAAAAAGGAATGAAACAAAGAGGAAACCAGGCTCCAAAAAATACAAATACAGAACAAAAGATAAAGGAGAAAAAGACAGAGTGTGTGTGGGATGGAGGGAGAGATGTGAGAGAGAGAGAGAGAGAGGGAGAGAGGAGGGACAGATGGAGAGAACACCAGAGCCAACAGCAGAGCTAAGTGGGTAGCGTGCTCCCCAGACTGAGCTCCATATGGCCTGACAGCATCATACAAAATGTTGGAGATTGGTGTATTTCTAGTGGCTAGTGGTGATTGTGGAGACTCATCTGGCTTGAAAGAATCCTCTGCTGAAAAATGCTGCATTCACTGATTTATTGTCATCCATGTCCTTGATCAGTCTCACTGCCTGATAAAGCTCTTAAAGGATGTGTTTGGCTTATTACAACTTTGATCTTATGTTCATAACTTAGACTAATCTTTCCATTGTATATAGTATAGTGTAGGTATGGAAAACTTTGCCTTCGGACAACATGTCTCAAAATCTAATTTTGTTTCAAGCACACTGTAAAACATAAAATCATGGACAGCATATAATAAGCCTGGAGTTCCACTTTGTTTTCTCTTGTAGGTTTGGCTAATCTCTGGGCTTGTTTAAACCCATATGATGATGTGTCTGACTAGTTCCATTCCATTCTATTGTCTATACCACTTATCCTGAAGAGGGTTGTGGGGGCTGGACCCTATCCCAACTTGTATCTGATCAGTATATGGGAAAATTCTCTCACAGACAACTAAAAATATATGAGGTTCAGCCTGTGTCTTATCCAGTCCCTCTAACATACAGAAAAGTAACTGAGAATGTCAGTTCCCTCCCCTGCACCTGCTGGAACAGAGACTCATGGGAACACCAGGATAACAGCCAATCCCTGAAGGAAGTTAGGAAACGACTCCTTGCCAGTCCCAGGACTCACTGAGGCTACGATAGGGCTGCCATTGTCATGGCACCCTGCTATCGGGGGAAACCTGGCCAATCACATTCAGTGAAGTGTAAACATCCTTACACTGCAGTACATCCATGTTACCTTTACAGAAGCACGACGTTCACTGTGCAGACACCAAGTGGCTGGAGGGAGGGAACCAATATATCCTATGTACAAAACGTAATGGCACTTTACTCAAATTTGACTCTAGGCAAGTTAATAAACCCATTTAATCTCATGTTTTTAACTGTATGTGGTCACAATATGTGTTGCATATAGTTTGTAAATGGCCTATTATTAATTCAGAGTATTATGATGATTGTACTGCTATGTTTATGTGATGCTCCCATAGCATGTAATTATAACATTAATACAATCATTTGTCAAATGAGTAAACTACATGTAATGCTAATAATCTAAAATATTGTGCTTTCAGTGGTGGGCCTTCAAGAGAACATATTAAGTGTTGAATGAAAATGCTCATTTAAAATGCATTTAGTAACACAAGGTCATTATTAGTATTGAGGTATAGTAATATTATCATTTGACAATACTGTATGGCAATTAACTACAGCCAAAGGATTACATATACCCACACAACTCCTCCTAAGAGACTTCTACAGCTCCTGGGCTTAATAAAAGTTTAAAAAGCCCAAGAGATGAACACAGTGGTGAAGTTTAAATGAGCCATTTTCTTTTACAGTGCTTTGAGATTGCCAGCAACTCAATCAATGGCTCACCAGAAGTCTGTTCTGTCTCCACTGAGCTGATCAACCTGACAAACAGTCGGCAGTAACTGACTATCAGCAGCCAGGTTTTCCTGCCCACTTTATTTCCTATAGACGTTCCAGTAATTCTGTGAATAAACATTATGTCCTGATACACAGTGAACAGTTGATGTCTGCCACCAAGGAATTCCCTGAGCAATGTATTTTACTTGCTGAAATGAACACAGGAATGACAATTGTTCTTCATTAAGAAATTAATATTAATGAATAGCCTACTGATTAGGTTTATCAAGTTTCAGTTTCAGCTAACAATGTTAAGCTTAGCTGTTTAGTAAATGACCTAGATATTTCACTTAATACCAACTATAACAAGTTCACAAACAGCACACTAGGTGCCACATCCCAAACCAGGCCAGCACAAAACCAGTCATTTTGTTGCCAAAAGGTTGTTTTTACTACTATGAATTTAACCTATATGTGAATTTACAGGTACCCCACACATCTTGGAAAACCTGGAATTTTTTAAACCAGTTTTCCAGTCATGTAAAAGTCAATGAAATAGAGATAAATTGTAAAATGACCTGGAAAACACTTTGTCATCCTAGAGAATAATTTTTACATTATTGTATTTTCCTTTTGCAGATTACTTTTTTTTTAGTTATACTAGCCTCTACAGAGTCCGGTTTTTATTTTTTCACCCTAACCTGTGATATAAAAGAGACTGCAGAGAGAGAGACAAGAAAAACTGCAGAAAATAAAGCTTACACATTTATTGTGGATACTACCACTCATACATTGAGGGACTGAACATCTGCATGTCTGTTTGGGAGAGCGCGGCAGTCATCAATAATCAATGGGTCATAAAGCATCTAAGGACTAGTTATACACATAAAGTATCATCATAGATTAATATATATGATTTAAAAGAAACTTCCACATAAAGGAGTTTGTTAGTCTAGGAGGTGATCTCCATTTGACATCACAGCCTTACCAAAACTGTTCTGGAAATGTCCAGCTACTCATTTCAGCTGTATTAATTAACATGAGTTCTTACTGTCACAGCCCAGGGTGATTGATATAATTCCTACTACTCTGCAACACTATTGACCTGAAAAATCTATTATTGTAGTTTGGTGCAAGGAAAAAGACGGCAGGGAGGAAAACCTTTACTATATTTGTGTGGGTCTGTCATGGAAACATTTATCTAGCTTCTATGGTAAGGAAAGCAGAGCCGAAGTACAGAACAAAGGGAACTATTATAGCCTATTTGCATCATCCATGCTTATAAAACCCTGCTCCACAAATGAGGCATAGTTTGTACAGTTAGGAGGCAGACGTTGCAATAAACAATGTAAATAGCTGCCTTGTCAATAAAGAGAATTGTCCTGTTAGCATCATGTAGCTAGCTAGCTTGGAGAGTAGCTGACACATCCGGTTAACTCTCAGCCAGAGTAATTTGTCTCACTGGGTGTAAACCACCTATTTCACAAGAAAGTGATGATGAACATCACTGTGTTGTTCTACCAGAGCTTGGCTCCCATCTCCACATGTTTGTTTCAATAACCTGCTCAAGGTAAACAATATCTGACCAAAATGAATTAACATATGTCTTCAGTCAACTCAAAACTATTTTTCCAGAAAATGATATAAAGTATGTTAAATACAGTAAGGTTAATCTTAATAATTTGTTGTCTTACATCTGAATTTCGATTAATAAATCCCAGTGTTCCTGTATTGTTCATTTGTTTTGCTAAACTCCTGTAATATTCTACATGAAATAGAGAAGAAGCTGAAGTGAAACATGTCACATACACATGACAGAAGTCGCTCTTTCAGACAAGCAGCTTGGCAGGAGAGCTGAGCAAACTGTGAGACACATGGAGCATCTGAATCCAGATTAAACCAGCACTTCTACCAAGGAGGACCACAACGTCCAGCTGGATCTGTACAGATTGATCATGTCCATATTTACAGTAGATAGTAGTAGGGATGTGTATCATTAGGATTTTATGAATACCGATATTGATATTGATACTGCTTATCGATACCTATACTTATCGATATTCTTATTGATACTACTCTCCATAATTTAGTGCAAAAAATAAAATGTGACATGAAAAATGTGAAAGGATTCAACTCTTTTTGTCATTACATTTTTGCATTTATAATCTGATATTTTAATGGTATTGTTCTGGGTTATTTTTGTTATTTTTTAAAGGAAAAATAAAACTTTTGGAATAGAATTAACATTGCCTACAGTAATTTTCTCATATGTCTGCTACTGTTAATATTCTTGAGAGGCAAAGTGTGACAGTATTGTTTTGGACAAATGTCTAGAGTACAGTGTGATCACTGAAAAATAATGGCTGTGGATCAGGAGGTAGAGCAGGTCCTTTCCTAACCGGAGAATTAGCAGTTCGATTCCCAGCTTGTCCAGTCCATATACCAAAGTGTCCTTGAGCAAGACACTGAACCCCCAGTTGCTCCTGGTGATGTCACCGGTGCGTGAGTGCTTGGGAGCGTGAATGGCCGAATAATATGAAAGCGCTTTGAGTGTGCTGTAAAAGCATAGAAAGGTGCTATACAAGTATAAGACCATTTACTTTGACTTTGCAGTATTTTTACTGTGTGCTGCTTTGTCTCCTACCCTCAGTTCACTAAATCCGGCCCTGAATTCTGTTTTCTCAACTTCTTTGGTACCGATGGAGGAACCATTAACATTGGGGCTTATTGATGCTACAGTATTTAATAATTTGGCACCGGTTCCACTTTAATACCAGCTTTGGTAGCTATCCCTAGATGTTAGCACCATATACTGATAGATGACACACAGAAACCCTTTGTGAGTGTGTTTTAAACAGGATATAAGGTAAAGAGGGTAAAGAGGAGTGTGACTGTAACATCAACCAAAGCATATTTCTTAAATACAGTATAAATCTAAAAGTCTAAATGAGGTGTATCACACAAATGGTATAATATTGGCTTGAGTCATACTTGCAAAAGATAGTCACCAGAACATGAGTTTCTTTTATACTATTGACTCATCCAATGTGTAAAACAGATTTCACAACAAAACATGAATGTGAGGTAAAGGAACAGGCTGCCAGCACTTGTTATGACGCAAAAGCAAAAATTAACACCCCCTTTGCACTCATTTTAGGCCAACTTTAAGTTTCATATTGACCAGGTGATGCTGAGGTGATGGTTGCATGAAAGCTATTGTCACTCACCGGACATCGTTTTGCTGTGGAGGTTTCTTCTGCCCAACCAGGTTCACTGTTCTTGCTTGGATAGGCTTCTCTTCTCTGAAACACACAGAAAGCAACTGTTAGTACTTTCAATATTGCTTGGTTTCGGTTAGCATTCTTGTATTTTTGGATTTGGTTCAATTATGTGCTTTCAAATGCTAGCTAACATAAGTGCAGCTGATTTGGTTTTGGACTGAGTGTACCTAATGTTGCACTCACTCAGCCAAACAAACCAAACTAAAAAAAAAAAAAAAAAACAAGCAAATGCTTGTAATGCAAACTCAGCTGATCAGAATGTGTGTTCAGTGTCCACTGGCACATCCACAGTAGGATTCAAAACCATCTCAGCCATAAACACTGATCAGTCTGGTCACTAAAAGAAAGAAACCTCTGCCGAGATCCACGCTGTCTAAAACAAAATGTATTTTTGCTGTCAGTAGTGCACGTACCCCTCTCATTGTGAGACATCATCTGCTGTTTCTGAAATGACTGAGGTATATTTGACATCTTTGAGTTACACTAGTAAAGGTTACTGCATTTCTTGCAAAAGGGACTTACTAATACTACCATTGCATGGACTTGGTGTCTGAAAGAGAGATGAAAGAACCTTACCAGTGTGCTTGCAGGTTTGAGCTTCTTAATTAAAATCATGTGTACTTGACATTTTTGCTGACCATTTTTAAATGCATGATACACATTTTTAGATTTCTGGATGTGTTCTACTGTCATTTCAGATGTCCTTTGGTTTCCATTCACTTCTGTGTTATGAAAATTAATTAGCAGACCTTTCTGAATTGCGTGAGTTGTGTAAGCCATGACAGTGAAAATTAAATCAGCATTCTACTTTTTTCAGTGTTACAAGGTTATCGCATGGTAATGCAGTGGTGGTGGCATAGTGGTGCAGTGGTTAGTACTGTCCCCTCACAGCAAGAACAACCTTACAGCTCTGCAGCCTTGGTATGTTCTTCTCCTGGTGGACGTTTTCTCCATGGAATCTGGCTCCTCACACAGTGCAAAGGCAGGCAGGTCAAGTTAGCTGGCAACTCTAAACTGGCCGATTTGAAACTCCTCTGTCTCGATGTATCGGCCGTATGACAGACTCGCAACCTGTCCAGAGTGTACCCCACACCCCCACCCACCCAGTGTCAGCAAGAATTGGCTCCACCCTAACCTCCATGACCCTGTACAGGATAATGTAATTGAAGTGTGATTTAATCATTAGCATAGCTAAATTCTCACAGTACTTCAAAAGAATTTGCATATACCACGTCACACACATCTCGAAGGACCCCTCTGTCATGCTCCTAAAGTTTGCTGATGATACAACGGTCATTGGTCTCATCCAAGACAGCGACGAGTCAGTCTATAGACGGGAGGTTGAGCAGAGTCAAATTCCTCGTATGTCCGACACACCTGGCCAATAAAGCAGATTCTGATTCTGATTAGCGCAGAAAAAAACAATGCAAGCTTACACACTAACACCACACACTGATGATAGATTTTTAATCAATTTCTATATATTATGTATGTTTTATATGCTTTCTGTGCATCCATTTTAGGACTGAGACAAGTTCCTCATGTGTTTCTGTCCTCAAGGTGAGGCACTGACATATAGTATCTCTTTGTGAAATGAAATGAAGTTATACTTTTGAGCATATGCATCATCCAGCTACTTGCAGAGAGTAAACTGGCCCTCCACTGTGCTTTTCATGAATGCAGACATTAAGTGATTGCAGTGCAAGACATACTTCCACCAAGGTTCTGATTTCATCAGTTCAGTGCAGAAAGGCTGCTGTCGTCCTTTCTAAACTGCCAATTAGTTTGATCGTGTGTGACTGATATTGATAAAATGATCATTCTTTGGGTATTTTTGTTGATTTGTTTGTCCTTATGGTGAATTTTCATGACTAGAGAAATGCTCATCACTGTTTGTGGATGCTTTATTATATCGCTGTGGAGAGAAGGGGTACACTGTACTATGTTCTTATATTTATGTTTCCATTTAGAATATCCATCCATCTGTAAATAAAATTCATTCTTCTCATATCAGTTTACCTGATGATAAGACAATTACTGATGAGACGTGGTTATTTAGTGACACTTTATTGACCAGTAAACCATTGTTGCTGTGTGCATACATATACTATGATCCTATACACTTAACAGCAAGAAATCTGATGGCATAGTGCTCATATAAGAGGAGTGAATTTTTTCGGCCTCTGCATTACAACCCACACTACCCTACTGCTAGTACACTCACCGTGCATGTATTAGTCAACCAGTGCAGCTTTTCAGTGCAGACCCATTCTTAAAGACACACACGCACTCACACTGCTTGTGTTGAAGCCAACAGAGGTTAAGACATATGTGATGTTAGCCTGCCTTATTTGCAGTTGCAACAGTATGGCATGACTGAATCCATGGCTTTCAGTACATTACTGAAAATGATGCATAGCCACTTAAAGCTGGAGCTATATATCAGACATTTCCTTGTTTAGATGCAATGAATCGATCTTCTGTTCCAGTGCTGGGCTATGAGTACACAGAGGGCTTAAAATAGAAGATGAACGTAAAGCTTGAGGAGTGCTTCACTTAGGTGGGCAGCTCTCTCTCTCTCTCTCTCTGGCCATCTGTGCATGCAGCTCCATGCAGACCAGGCAGAAAACATAAGATAGGTATTGTTTCTACTCAATGCGGTTTCTAGTCCTGGTAGAAAGGGGGTGGATATCCTGTAAGTTCATTTTTGCACAGATCACAGTGACAAACAAACCTGAAGGAGACTTTTCTCCATGCATGTATATACAGTGGTGACATAGGGTGGATGCACACAGTGAATATAAGTCACTCATTTAAAATAATATGACACCAGCACTTTTTCCTCCTCTGTTATAGGCCTCCTGGTTCTGTAACAGCCTGTGTGATGTCTCTTGCAAGAGCACTGGCCTACATACAGCACATAAGGCTGGGAAAGGCTCAACCGCACCCCAGAGCTGAGAACAGCAGCTGTTGAGATGGATGCTGCACAGATAAAAGCCCACACGAAGGGTTTTACTTTTTCTATTTTCAATGCCAAGCCTCAGTGAGCCTTCTGCAGTTTCCTGCTCCATCTGTCAATGACATATTTCAGGTAACGTCCACACGCTCTCCACCTCACTCTGGCACAGTTACGAATAAAAGTGATTCTATTACGAACATAAGTGCAGATGAAAAATTTGTTCTTAGTTTTCATCTGAGTGAATTGTGATACTGTGATACTCATTCATCCTCTCACCATGCTTTCCTTCCTCACTCCTGAGCAAGTTACACCTGACCAACCATGCACTCACTGAGTTTCTCTTAGAAGCAGGGAGAATCTGCAAACTGGACATGAACCTGGTCTGAACTGGCCTGTGTATGTTTCTCTATGCAAGAGAAAAAAGTGAAGCCTTTACGTGCTCTATAAGTGAGTTTGTTCTGAGTGGAGGGACCTGCAGGATGCACACACACACAAACACAGTGGAGTGGAACAGAGGTCCTGATGCTAGAAGGCTACATCCATCACAGGGAAAGGAGGTGAATGGACTTCTTCAGAACCGAAATAGCCCAGGCCCAGTCTCTGTCGGCACACACACACACACACACGCGCACTATCTTTCTCTTCTCTCTCTCTCTTACTTTAACATGGCCTCCTCCTTCGCCTCCTCCTCCCGCTGCCGATCCAGCACAGCCATGATGATCTTCCTCTCCTCTTCTGTCAGATGGCTAAGGTCCGGCTCCGGAATGGCCGGGGCGACGGGTGGACGCGGGCCGCCCCGAGGGCCCACCGAGGCGAACATCTTCCTCACCACAACCACCTTCCCCCCTTCTCTTCTTCCTCGGTAGGGATCACGGATAAAAAACCCGTTGGCGGAGCCCACGGATCACGGCATGGCCCACGGACAAAGCTGTGGTTGTAGCGACTGATGCGGAGTTCCCATCGCGGTGGCGGGGAGCACCCAGGGCGGCGGCGGCAGCGTCAGTGTCGGTGCTAGCTGTGGTTGTAGTAGCGGTGATGTTGATGGCAGCGCCCGGTTGCCGTTTTCAGTCTTTCCTTCCTCCCCTTGCTGCTCCACTGTATTCTCCCCCCACCCCCCTCCCACCGCCCGCACGCCCGCCTCTCCCCTCCACAACCTCCCTTTTACGGGGAGCCCATATCTCAGGCAGTCGGCTGGGATGACGGCACAGAAGCGGGGGATCTCACTTCCTTCCTTCAGGTCAGGCAGAGAGAGGGGAGGTGGGGGTGGGGGCTGAAGGCGGCTCAGGTCTGCGCTCGATCCGGTGGGTTGACTGTGTGGCTGCGGGGGGAGGGGGCGGCCTTTTGTTTTTCCTGATGATGCTGATGCTGCTGTCAGGGAGACGGAACAGTCAATGGGACCGCAACCCCTCGAGCGCGCTCACTTCTCTTGCGGCGAGAGCGTGCAGCTCTCATTTGAGAATGAGGGACTCCACTCACCGTTATGGTGCGCGCTCACGCCAGCCTATAGGACACACATGGAATAAAGGGTTCCTCAAGGGTGCGTTGTGGGTTTTGTAGAACCATATCGTACTAGCATGGACGTTTGGCATCACTTTGAAACAAGAACACCTTTATTAGGTGTTTTTAAGTGTCAACCTGAAAACGCTATCCCTTTTGTCAACTTGGAACTAGCAACTAGCAATTTTGGAAAGCTTAAAACCAGACTATAAAATGCATTGTAAATTGATCAAATATAATAGGTGTAGCATAACCTATAGCCTACCTGTAAAGATGCTTCAGTTGATTACATGCACGGTTTATTGTAAATCTATTAAACTCTGTTAGTGTTAGGGTGATTTTTATTTTTACGCACTTATTAGTTAAGGTTTTTATTTTATAGCACATCTACATTTATTTCACAGTTATGTTTACATAGAAACATATCACCCTATGAGTTCACTGAATCACTGGTCAATATTTACTGTGTTAGTCACTGAAGCACTGTTTAACATCAAAGGGACTTGTTCACTGAATCTCATTAGATTTACAGCTTTGACTATGAGAGTCCACAGTTACTTTATTATCGCCACCTGGCTGATGAAGCCAGGGGAATTAGGGTTCACTGGGGCACCAAGGTTAGTAAACAGAGATTAGATCCAGAGCCAGGAATAGGAGAAAACTTCAAAGGCAGAACCATATGCACACACACAGGCAGAGCAGTTGTAATTGGTGAACCGGAAAGCAATGCCTAATACGAAGCAGTCAGTTAGAAACAAAAGAGGAAGTGAGTGTCTATGTAAAAATTAAGGCAGTATAAGTATTCCTCCCCTTCCTAGGGCGTTGTCCTCTACGATTGGAGCAGAAAGGACGTAGGAGGACGGACGGACCGAAGGACTAGTAACGGGAGAGTTAAGTCTAAACCACAGCTCCTCCCCAACAGTTTTTGACCAATTAGTAGCACCTTTTGGTACAAAAACTGTATACCGATAAGTTGAGAGTAGTCTTTTCTGTTTTTCCTAAACAGTGAAGATCCATGTGCACATGTTTATTTTGATATGTTAATGCATAATACATTTCACACAGTGAAATATACTTTTATTAGTCTTCTCTTCTCAAATAAAAGAACATGCCTCACATTAGCAGTAGATCCCATAGGTGAAAAAGGTATTAAACTTAGGGCAACTTCAGGCTTGTGCCAAATTTGGGAAAATGAATAGAAATATCAATAAATTATAGCCTAGCTATTATACTAAGGGTGTTTTTTATTGACAGGTGAATAAAGTGTTTTAAGGGTTTAAATGCCATTTCAAATGACCAGAAAACTGATAAACCATCTCAGTATGGACATCTCAAGTTAGAAATTTAAGGGATGGGTTTTGGCATTCTGGGAGGCAAAACATCTTCAAATATACCAGATATCATACCACTCAATTTTAAGGGTTTTACTTTTTTAGTTAAAGCGTAGCTTCAGGGATTCAGCCAAATATTTGGGGTTTATTAAAGAAAACCTATAGATCATAATATAGGCTATTATGGGGGTTCCTGTCTGTCTTCTGGACCAAATATTATATAAATATTTTCACATTAGGTTAATTGAAAATTGAAAGTGCCTTTCAGTTCCAAATTAATGGATGACTTTCATGTCATTCATGCCATTAAAATCTCTCTAAGCCACACAGGTAATCAATTGAAATGTCTTAATATATTACAGTGTATTTATTTTGTAATTACCCAGTTACACTCTCATTAAAATGTTGTTACAACATTATTTAAGGATAAGTGAATAGAGCTGAGAATAAAAGAAAATTTTGGGATTCACTTTCATAGTGCAGTATCCGCAAGAGACTGGACCCAAGTTCCTATATTGCTGATATATTGTAATTAAATTGGTTCTAATAAAGCAAGCACAGACAAACATAGTCCAGAGTCTTTATCATATTGACCTTTATTTTACTGTCAGAGCAATAGAGTACTACAACAAAAGGCAGATCAACATATTTGCATTCAACAAAAAGCGAATGATGTGTAAAACAGTACAAAGTGATAAAACAAAGAATAATTTATGGAAAAGAAACCATAACAATAGGCTTAGTGTGTAGTAACCTATGAAGTACTGTAAAACACATAAAACTCTACAGGCAATAGTAATAATGAATGCCTAATGAATTTTTTTCTAGTATTGTATCAAACCCTTAGTGGATGACTCTCCTCCCCCTCCCCTATCCCTCCAGTCATTGCAAGTTTGATAATCACCCCACCTTCCCTCCCTTTCCCTCTCTCTCCATTAGTTCCTCATCCTTCCCCCTTTCCATCCTTTGAATATTTCCCAGCTCTCACCACACACACACTTCATGTGAACGAAGCCTGATGTTTACTCCATAGCCATGCACATGTATGACTATAGGGTGATATTTATGGCATGTAATATTCCAACATTTAAATTATAGGATGTGTGTCTATAGGGGTTTAAAAGCATGACTATTCAAATACTGGACAATAAGTCACACTAGTGAAGTGTGAATCACACAAACAGTACAGGCTCATTTATTGTGTTTAAATTTGGGCACAAATTTACTTTGATAAACTTCTTAGACATCCAAATTTGTCAAAAACCTGATTTCTGATCTGTCTAAACTTATTACAGTTGGGTATGATTTGCATTACAATTTTTCATATAGCTACAGTAACATGATCCAATAAAATTAGACTATGCCACATTTTTGTGGAACCCCTGAGGGAGCCTATAAGTCCATAACTCAACACCCTAAACCAGCTGAGTCCAGCTCAGACAGGAGTAAGTTCACAGTGAAATTTAAAATCAGCTCTTAAATGTTGATTTATAATTTCTGTATTTAAGTAATATGGTCAATAATGGGCCTACTTGTAGGCTATTGAAAGAAGCAATAGCTGCAAGTCTGAAGCAAATAGCAGGGAAAGGCCATATACATTAGGGAAAAACAACAGGCCATCTAAGCATAAGCATATGCATAAGCTTGATTGTCGAGTATTTCAAAAATACAAGGAATTTGACTCCACCCCAATAGCCCCTGATGTACACATCATAAAAACAAAAACTAGAGAAATGCATTTCCTGTCGTAAACGCGTGTGGGTGCTAATAAAAGCTGAAAGATCATCCTGAAAATGCCTGAAATCAACTGCTGAAACAGCTGAAAGATGAGAAGAAATGGCTGAAGTTCTTGTTGAAATAGTTGAGAAGAAATGGCTGAAGTTCTTTGTTGAATAATCTGAAGGGTGAGATGCAATAAAGTAGGAATGGCCTTGAAGAGCTGAACATTTTGATACCTGAATGGCTTTTCTAGCTGAAAGTATGCTGAACTTATTAAGATGTGAAAATAGTCCAATAGGACCCCACAAAGTAGGTAAAACAAATAGATGTGAGTGTGTGTGTGAGAGAGAGGGGGGAGAGAGACAGAGAAAGGGAGAGGGGGAGGGGATGATTGTCAGAGAGAGGAGTTATGTAGAGGTATGTTCCAATTGCGCTGCATTTTATGGACCACCAGATGGCACTCCAAGACTGTGTCATTGACTCGGCACTTTGAGCTCCCATTGACTTGTATTGCAAACAATAAAGCTGAATCAATTAAAAAGCATAAATGTTATAGAAAAGTTGAGTACAAGCAGGGATGTCCCTGAAGAGTTGAACAAATGAAGACTTCATTTATGAGTATAAATGTTACAGACAAGAAAAATACAAGCACACATGTCCTTAAGGAGATAAACAGTTTGATACCTCAATGGCCCTTCTAGGTGAAAGTATGTGGAAGGAATTAGGTGCCAAAGAACAGTGGCGGAACCCAAAACTAGAAAACTGCATTTCCTGTCGAAAATGTGTGTGTGGATGCGCATTGCTGAAAGATCGCCCGGAATATGCTGAAGACTTTGACACCTGAATGGTTTTGCTAGCTGAAAGTATGCTGAAGTAAAATTTCCCCATTCTTTTGAATGGTGCAAAACTTTCACAATAAAGCTACATATTGAAGAAATATGGAGTTTAGAAAGGTTCTGAATAGAAGCATGAATGTCCTTGAAGAGCTGAACATTTTAACAGCTGAAAGTATTCTGAGCTAGAATTTCCCCATTCATTTGAATGGTGCAAAACTTTCAAAATAAAGCTACATATTTCAAAAGTATGAAGTTTAGAAACATTCTGAATAGAAGCATGAATGTCCTTGTGGAGCTGAACATGTTGATACCTGAAATAGTCCAAAGTATACAGAGGTAGAATTGTCCTATTCATTTGAATGGTGCGTAACTTTCAAAATAAAGCTACATATTTCAAAAGTATGAAGTTGAGAAAATGTCTGAATAGAAGCATGAATGTCCTTGAGGAGCTGAACATGAAATAGCTGAAAGCATGCTGAAGGAGAATTTTTTCATTCATTTGAATGGTGCAGAATTTTCAGAATAAAGCTAAATAGCCTCAACACGGACAAGACGAAGGAGATGATAGTGGACATGAGGAAGGAGAGGAGAAGTCATCGGCACTGTTCATCCGGGGGCTCGAAGTGGAGAGGGTGAGCAGCTTCAAATACCTGGGTGTCCACATCAGTGAGGACCTCACTTGGACACTTAACACCACACAGCTGGTCAAGAAGGCCCAATGGCGGCTGTACTTCCTGAGGAGGTTTGGCATGTCGCCGAGAAGCCTTTGCAACTTCTACAGCTGCATCATTGAGAGCATCATTTTGATAGCTGAAATAGCTGAAAGTATGCTGAAGTAGAATTTTCCCATTCATTTGAATGGGGCAAGGTTTTCAAAATAAAGCTAAATATTTTTAAAGTATGAAGTTTAGAAAACTTCTGAATAGAAGCATGAATGTCCTTGAAGAGTTGAATATTTTGATACCTGAAAATATGCTGAAGTTGAACTTCCCCATTTATTTGAATGGGGCAAATTTTTCAGAATAAGTACTAAATAGTTGAAAAAGTATGAAAGTTGAAAGAAAAAAATCTTGACGCCATAATGTCCTGAAAAA